GCCCATTCTCCTTGTTTGCCCAAAACAGCGTTCCCGCTCACTGTCAACTCTGCATCATGGGATACCGAAAAGTGGTGCTTCTCTGCGTCTTCTTCCGCTATTTTTCCTGAGTAGAAACTGGCCAACGTTTTTCAATAATTGATTGAAACTTAGTTTTTTGAGTATAGCTTTTTATCCAACTCTTTCATTTCAGATGTGAACGCGGCCCCGTCTACGCCCTCTTCTCGGCCCCTCGCGGCTTCGAAATCGGCCAAAGGCGCTGAGCGTGTGGATAAATAGGTATGGCTTTTCATTGCTTTTTAGGGATACCTAATTTTACGTTCGATAATTGGTTTCTTGGCTCAAATGCGAAACCTTTCGCTGTATTTCCAGCGTTTTTTGCTTTCTAGAATTTTTTTAGCAGCTTTCCGAAAATGCCAGATGTAGATGCTTTATTCTTAAAATATACCTCTATTAAAGGCTATTTTTCAGAGCCAAACATCCGGTCCGGTCTTTCATTACCTTCCCCCTTCGTCTTCTCTGATTTTCGACAGCCACTACCCGTCCAGAATTCTTGTCAAAACAACCTGATTCCAGTGGAGCCCAACAACCAACCGATCAATGGATGGTAGGTTGATAGTGAAAAAGTGAGCGGGAGAGAGAGAATGTGAGAGAGAGAGAGAATAGAGAGAGAGAAATGAGAGAGAGAGAGAGAGAGAGAGAGAGAGAATGGAGAGAGAGAGCGAAAGAGATAAACAGAATGTCGACCATCCTTAGTTTCACCGCCTCACCTTTTTTCTTTTTAGGAACCTTCAACCCTCCAAGTCACCATCATCGAGGAACCAGCAGCCTTTTCTGCTTTGGGCAAAATACAGAATTCCTCAAAAAATCGCCCTGACTTTCGTAATCAGTTTCGCTGGAATAGTCCCATTTCATGCCGCCCCCAATTTTTGCTCGTACCCAACCGGTCGCGCGCTTTGTGTTTTGTGTGTCGTCTCGTCAAGTTTAGTCGGAATGATTTGATTTTTCTGGTTTATGACTTCCTGTACTGCTGGGAAACAACTGCTCCAAACTACGCGCCCTTTTCATCCTGCCCAGTCTTTCGACCCGCCCCGCAACGTTTTGCTCTTTGAAAATTTCGTGCGATTTTGGGAAAATACTAGATTACCAGGTCATCTTTCACCCCCCACGTCCACACGCTCCAAACTCACACCACCGCCGCCAACTCCAGTAAGTCTTTTCAGCTGCCCTGGAAGAGTGCAAAAAGGTCTTGATTCTGATTTTTTTGCAATTTTTTTCGACGGCCCAGCGTTCACCGCCTCTCACTTGACCCGCAAGATGACCGCGTAGTTGTTTTCCCTCTTTTTTATCTGGGATCGATTCGGAATTTTTGGGTACCGTAGTTAGGGCAAGATTTAGAAAAAAGCCGCATTTTTACAAAAATCGGGATTTTGAAAGTAGTAGTAAAATAGCCGAATTTCGTATTTTTGCGGCTAAACTTACGCCTGGAATTTGGCTTAAACATCATTTAAAACTTTGATTTTCCGGTTCAAAAACTATTTAATTAATCAAGTTTAAGTTTTCTGCTTTTAAACGCTTTTAAACTATTCAAAATCGTCATCAAGATCTAAAAAATGAAATACAGCAGGGAAACCAAACTTTTCCGAATTTGTTTACATTAAGGTTCTGTTTTCTAAAGCTTGCCTGGCTACAGTGCCCCAAAAAAAAACTCAAATCCATTTCTGGCCACTCTCCACCCTTAATCTCTGCCCAGCGAGCCGTCGGGGATAATCTCTGATCTCCAGGGTGCGAAGGGTGGGTCTGCGGAACTTCCCAAAATTCCCCAGACCACCCAGCCTCCAGCCGGGACCCTTTTCTGGGCTTCCCGGTCCTCCACTGATGACCCTGGCGGCTCTTGGGCATAATACAGTCCTCTACAGTACCCCGGCCACCCTAAATTGTCTACTGTATATTTCTCTGCCCCCTCCCCGCTCTCCAATTCGCCCACTCTCTCGCCCCCTACCATCTCTCTAACCGCTCCAAAAACCGATTTTCTCTTATCGTGCACCCGTCTTTCAGCCCAGCTGCCGCCGACAGCGCGCAGCCAATGTTTTTTTCGTTGATCCGCCAAAAACAGTTAATTTTTAACTTTCCTCTCTAAGAGCCAAGCTTCCCGGTCCCTTTAAAACATCCCTATTTTAGCGGTTTTCAAAAATACAAATTTAATCTTTTTTTGTGACTTTTGGTCCCCTAGAAAGTGACCCGCCCACTGTATGAATACCCACGATTTTGCGGCCGTATTTTTGAAGGTACGTAGCATTTCTGGACGATTATAATAGGTTGAAGTATGCTACCGTACTCTCCGAAATTCATCTACCCTTTTGACCCCAAAAATTCCCCCACTGTCCTATAGACACCCCCGAAAGTTCTAGCGTGCTCATATGTACTATCCGTCTTTCCGGTCTGCACTGGATAGGCTTAAGCCTAAGCCTAAGCTACGCCTAAGCCTAGGGTGAAGCTTAAGCCAAGCCTAAGCCTAAGCCTAACCATGCAGACCGCCCCATTTTACTGTGATTTCTTCCAAATACAACTCGGTTTGGGGAAAAAGCAAATTTCTATTGTTTTTCTATAGACGTTTAATTTTTAAAAATATTTTCCGATTTTTCCCCCCACTTTCCTACGGCCCCACCAATGATTCTGCACTCCGTGTGATGACCCCCCGCGCTGCATGCTTGGATTTTTCTAGATTTTTATGTACCCTGGAGTTTTGAGGTTTTGGGGGTACGATATTCTAAATCTTGACCTAAATACCGTATCCTCCTGGCCTTAAAACCCAAAAATTTGCTCTGAAAATGAACTCCACCCGCCACCCACAAGCCCCACAAGAGACATGTATTTAGGTTACGCGTGTTGTGCTTTTGTGTTGCCGTCCGGGGGGTTGTCTTTTGCAGCCTAATGTACTGTATTGAAATTTGAAGCGTAAAGTACACTAGGCTACAAGCTAAAACCCCTCAAAACCTACCGTAAATCTCGGAAACCCGCAATTTCACCCCCTATACCCTTAACCTGATTTTTTGACATGACATCAACTTCCCGCGTCATCTCCGATTTCGCCAAAATCTCTGCGTCTCCACACTCTCTCTCTCTAACTCTCCACTCCCGTATCTTGCTAAATTATTGAAATTGGAATTTTTAGACACTACTGTAGTTTCTAAAAATCGACTTATGGACCCGGGAAAACCCGATTTTTTTCTGAATCTACCTTAAGCCTGGGTCCATTTTTATACACTTCTCCCTTAACTCTCCGATACCCGTGTGCCATTGTGTAGCGCCCCCCTGCAGCCCTCTGAATATTTTACGACCCTATACATTATGCTGAATATGTGTGTTCTTTTGTGAAATGAATGTAGTTTCCCCCTGTCTCTTCCCCCTACCCCCTCCACGCCGCTTCGTCAAGACAATAAATAATCTGTTGGAAAACGTTTTTCTAAAAAATGCATCCAAGACATCAAATTCAAAGAATAAACAGCTAGAAACAGAAAAAGGAAAACACCCTTCTTGAAATATAGCAAAACAACCTGCAAGCCGAATGCAGAGTATACAAATAGATCTAAAGTTTAGTATGGTACCCGGCTGATTGCAGGCATAAGCCGTCATTTGAAGCAGTTCGTAGCGTCGTCCCGCCTTTTTCAAGACGCGATCAAGGTGTTCGACTCCATGTTCCTTTCTTCGGCATCTTCAATACGTTTCAAGATGCAGCCATGCCAAAACTGCTATTTCCCTTACAGCCATCTGAATATCTGAAATGAAACTAAAGAAAATGAATTATTTGGCTTACAGCACCTGTCGGAAACTTGAAAGGGGGTCGAACGAACATGCATCACTGAAACGATACCATCTTAAAGGCGCGCAAAAATTTCACTTGATCTGGAAGCCTAACTACTTGCACTTCAAGCTGCGCGACTGGGATAAGAAAGATAACCAGTTGTTTTGATGAATCCACCACGTATGGTTTCAAACTTATCGTTAAGAAACACCACGGTCCGGATTTTCTTGAACGGTGATGCTATGAGGTCGTGGCATTTTCTACGGCGCGCCATCGAAAAGGCCATAGATGAGGATGGGACGTTCAATGCATCAATGGAGTTTTCCGCCCATTTTCTTCGCCATGCGAAAATGGGCCTGACTTAGTGCATAGAACGATCCGGCGTCCACGAGACACTTGAGAGAGATCTGAAATCTTGTGAAGTGAATATCCCGTTAAAGTACTGAAATACGATACCTAATGCACAGATCCCATCACTTACCAGGTCCCCAAAGCTAAATGTCGTCACGAGAAATAACATGAGCCCTCGCTACTGGCTAGTGGCTACCCCAGGCGCGCCACGAATTCCGGAACGCTACTCGGAACGCTCAGACAGACAGGGCGGAAAGAAGAACGCTTGATGGTTGATGGGAAGAAGAGTGGCGGAGAAGGAGCAGGGGAGGAGGAAGGTCCATTGTCCGAGCACCATCCCCATGCGTATTCAAAGGAGCTCGAGCTGATGAGCACGAGAGGAGGGCAATGTGTCCCCTCGGAATACCTGCGCAAAAAAATGCCCCACATATTTCGGCTCGTCGGGGTATATAAGTTTAGGGAGACGGGGCAAGACAGTATCGGAGCATCGTCCACTCCCCATCCATTCAGCTCAATTTTCTGAGCATCAGCTCATTTTTCGAATTCCTGGCATCGTTTGGAGTATTGAAGCGGGAAAACTTAAATTTTCTCGCATTTTTCAGGCTTTTAAGGCTTATTTTGTTTACTTTATTTTCTGAGGAGTTCAAAACTTTACGGGGTTTTTTCGACATTTTCCACATTTTCAAAGTGGGTTAAAAACGCTTGAACGTCCCTTAAAAACGCTTCGGGAAACGTCGTATCTTCAAAAGTTCTGAATAGTATTACTTGCTGACGCTTGGCCACAATATGCTCTCAAAAACTTTTCGGATTTTGTACTGAAAAACGTACTGACCCTCCCTTCAGAATGATCCCGAGGACGTTGCTGATCTGCGCTGTGGTCGGAGCCGCGTTGTGCATGCCGTCGTACGACGAGAAGTCGCACAAGGGCGAGTACGAGGCGAAGAAGTATTCTTCCGAGGGAGCACATCACGATGGGCAAGAGTACGGCTCCGAGAAGGCCGGCAAGGAGGGCGAGCATGGAAAGTGAGTGGCAGCTCTAGGACATTAATGGCCTCATACTCTAACAACCTTCCGGATTCCAGATACGACAAGTACGACCAGGCCCACCACCACGCCTCCAAGGCCGAGGAGGGCGAGAAGAAGAAGCACGAGGAGCACGTGGCTGGACAAGCACGGCGGCAAGACGCACGCCAAGGAGGACTCGCACTTTGGAAAGGGTAAGGAACGGGCTGGGAGGGGTTGAACTGCTTGAACTTGATGAGCGTGATTCTCAACCTCCCTAACCTTCGCTCCTTCCAGACGTCAAGACCAAGTCCACCGGCTACTTCGAGTACAAATTCGTGCAGCCCCAGTACCACATGGAGCAGTTCCACCAGGACGAGAAGCACGGCAAGAAGTACGGAGCCGACTCGCACGACTACGGCAAGGAACACTACGGCGATGGAAAGTACGACAACAAGGGATACAGCAAATATGGTAAGTTATTTGGAAAGTTTCGGATTAGTTTTTGAACGGCTTGAAAAGGATGGGAATTTAGGTAAGTACTACGCTCAGGACGGTGGTGATCACTCCGACTACGCCAAGGAGAATCACGGACATGATGGACACTACAGCCAGTACGACAAGGGACAGAGTACGTTTTTGTCTTGTTCTCTCTCCGGTTCTCTCTCTCTATCTCTCTCTCTCTCTCTCTCTCTCTCTTTCGTTTGCGCCTATCGACTATTTTTCAGAATCCGACAACGCCGGCTACTACAACCAAGGACACGCCGCTCACGGATCTGAGTACGACCACCACAAGGAACAGCCCCAATACTACGAGCCCCACTACAGCCACTACGAGCCCCAGCACTACGGCGGAGGACACTACGAGCCTCAGTACGGTGGCCACGATGACCATCATCAGGAGCACTACGAGCCCCATTACTACTCTCCCTACGAGTATGGACACCATTAGATCTTTTGGCGCTCACCGTTGTCTGTATTTTTCCTTGCGAGTGCAAAATAAAGGAATTAAAATCGTGGAGGTTCAGGTATAAAAACGCACACTAATAGACTGACAGCTTTTGCTCCCTTTAATTCAGCGTTTACCGATTTTTTTTCTGGATTTTCGTCAGTTTTAAAGGGCGCATGACAAGGAGTTTTCCTGCTCTGACTTGTCCGGTCGATCTCGTTCTCTCTACTCCTCTCGCTCACGCGTCCTCTTCATCTTTCACCCCCTTCTCTCTCTCTCTCTCTCTCTCTCTCTCTCTCTCTCTCTCTCTCTCTCTCTCTCTCTCTCCCGTTCGCTCTCATTCTTCTTTCGCTTTCACTGGCCCTCTCGCACACCCTTTTCCCTGCATCTAAAAATTTTCTTCAAATGCAACTTTTCGTCATCTTCTTGATTGAGCTTTAGCTCAACTCACCCTTGCTTGAGATCTAGCCTGACTCTCATGCTCCAACATCCAGCTCCATCCCCAAAAATATGCAAATTGAATGTAAGGCAATGCATTTGGCTATTCCGGGAAAGACCCCGAGCCACCATTTGTCATTTTTGGCCTCCGTTGCCCTCTCTGGGCCCCTAGTTTCGGCGGGCGTCGCTTACAATCTGCTTAGAGCCTTGGCGCATCCCCGGGGACATGGCCCCGGACGTGCCACAAATCCTCGCCCCCAGCCACTAGGGCAACTTTTTGGTGGCACTCCTGATTGGATCCGGGTCAGAGCAAGACTTGGGCATTTTGGGATGGAGGAGCTACTTAAATTTCACGGCATGATAGTAAAAATTCTCTTCTTTTGCTTATACAGTCTCTCTCCCTCACTCCCCCTCGCTCTCTCTCCCTCTCTCTTCCTCTCTCTCCCTCTCTCTCCCTCTCTCCCTCCCTCTCTCTCTCCCTCTCTCTATCCCTCCCTCTCTCTATCTCTCGCTGTTTCTCGTGCAGCTCTTTCCCTTCGCCCTGAATTTTTACAAGTATATTTTGATTTTTCATGTTTTGGTTTGGTCTATCTCCATAGGCTGTTTTTAGCAATTCAGCCAAGGTGGATCCGTGGCTTCCGCTTCTCCCCAAAAAACATCTTCTTGCTCCCCCTCCTCGCCTCTCAGTGGGCCAATGAGTTTGTTGACCGAATGGCAACCGAAAAAGGGGTAGTGCCAAAAGTCTACACATGAAATGCAGCAAATTTGTCATGAGTGGGGGGGCGTCGTTTGGAATGCGGGGAGTGTGTCGGAAAAAGCAGGAACGTGGGCAAAATAAAAAAATTCAAAAACTTTGTGCTAAAAAAAGAAGAACAAAGAGAGAGAGGGGTAGAGGAGAGAGAGGAGAGAGAGAGAGCGAGAGAGAAGGAACCAAATCCCATATTCCGTACCCTTCCACGCTACGGGGCACTCAATTTAGCCTCCCTCTACGGCGCCGCGACAATATAAATGACTCGCTAATTCGTTTCCGCGCAATTTTACAACCATGGAAATGGGCTAGCGTGCCCTGGTCCCACACCGACGAATGAAAAGGCGGAATTTGGGGTTTTTGGCGTTTCAAGGCCTTCCGGATTTTGCTTTCAATTGTTTTCTGTACATTACCATACTATCTTTCTCATCCCCCCTCTCTCTCTCTCTCTCTCCTTCCCTCTATAAATTTGCAGCCAAACTACAGCTGCAGACCCCGGATCCACTTTGCATATTTCTGGGCCTTTGACCCCTAGTGACCCGGGTGGACGTCGCTCTTCATAGCCCCCAGGCACTACACATCTAGCCGTATCCATCCCCAAACAGATGCAAATTTATACTAGGGCGATGGCTAGTAGCAGCGGCGAGCGGGGGAGGGGACAAACGTTCTAGGAATGTTCAGAGAACCGCCTCATACACGCAAAATTTTTTTGAAATTTTTGATCTCATGTATTTAATTACAATATGTAGAATTTTCTGTTTCACAATGGCATACAAAAATTGACTTAATGAAATTCGTGCTTAAAAGGTAAAAATTAAAAAACCAACGATTTTTGGTCAGGGCAATGGAATTGTATCGATGGGCTTTTTAACAGCCGGGAATCACTTTTTTGTCTTGGCTTTTAACATATTTACAACGTATTCTTTACGGTTTTCATTGGTTTTGAGTGCCATAAAAAATTGAAAAATCCCGAAACTCTGAAATTTAATTTTTGACCAAGATCACTAGTTTTCATTTTTGCAAGTTTTATATGACTGAAAACTGCACAAAATGCTATAAAAATTGTTTATATTACGGGGCCGTCCAAAAAATTTGCATTCGCAATCAAAAATTCCACCCACCGCCAACAGGCCAGTGCCGTTCAGGTCCACCCCGTAAGGTATGGATTGACCAGAAAATTATCTCCATTAGTCTTGGCTCCCGGCCATTACGCGCGGAACTAAATACTACTAATCGTGTCAAACTGCCTGGCCGGCCACCTCCGACAATTTTGGCAACGACCCGAAAGCGATCGGGGAAGAAGAGAGCGGCTCGCGCATAATTGCGCCCGATTGTGCCCCGCAAGGGTCGAGCCCGGGGAGAAAACATGGACATTCGGGATTGGCCATTGGCTGAGAATAGACTATCTAGGCGTTTAGTATATGGCTGAGGAGGTCGGGTTAGTAAGCCTTGTTTCCAATTTACACGAACACCCCCTAAACGATTGGAGACGCGAGGTGACTGTCGCGATTCGTTTTTTGTGAAGCTTTGCCCGGTAGCTTGGCGCGAGTTCGATCCGTTTATTGTCACTATCCAAGCTCAACTTTTCTTAGCTTAACATTCGTAGTTTCGAGCCGTTTGTCAGGGTCAAACGTCGCGCGCAGCAAACGCTAGTCACTACTCAGTGAATTTCGGTACCAAAAAAGGTAACGTGGCAAATTGCTTTCTTCCTGCCTTCGAATTTCGCCAATAATCACGCCAACCAAAATTCCGAAAAGACGAGAATCTCAAAATCTACAATTTACATCATTTTATCTACAAAAAGCCCGACAGTTAAAATACCGATAAAACAAAGATACCGACAATGACGACCAGAAACGACGCAAATCTACCATAAATTCTAAATATTAGGCTGGTTGCTGATTTAGGCTTAACTTGCAAAAATTCGAGAACTTATCGTAGCAAATTTATAAATTTTGTGTCTTCCGGTAGAACCGGAAAGATTCCTGCCTTTCTAGTTGTGTGAAAAAAAATTAAACATGCGAGGCTTCCAGTAGGACCCTCTACCTGGAGCTTGTTTTCGAAAAAACGCCACGAAAAACAGCCGTTCCAGCCGTTCGTACCCCCATATCCGGCCCAGGTGGTCCCCCACCGAATCCCATTTGTCGATGGGTTCCACCCCGCTCTACCTGAAATTCAAGCCCCTGCGGCTTTTCCCAGCTTCCCCCCCCCATCCACTTCTTTGTGACCTAGAACTGTCCCTACCATGTGGAGGAGCACACCAGTGCAAAGCCCCCCCCACGGTGGGCCCCGCCCCCTCCTGCTAGAGCACGACAAAGCACTCAAAATGAGCGGGTAGCGGAAGAACCAGTATAGGGGCTGGACACTTCAGAAAAGAGGTGCTTCAATTCAATTATTGTTGCGAGGGGCTATTGTTTGGAAATAGTGACGATTTTCTTGATTTTTAGTGCCAAATTGCATAGTCTCTCTCACTTCTAGTCTCTGTTCGCTCTCCTCGCGCTCTCCCACCCTCGCTCTCTCACTCCAACTTGTTCTCCTTGTCCTTCCCCTTACTTTTAATAGTTTTCTGTCAGGTATGCAAATATATATGTAACCCTTTCGAGGCCTTGTTCATGGAAAACACTTACTACGCTGTCAGCGGCGGACCAATTGCTCAACGGGGTCGGATCGTGGATTGTAAAAGGTTGGGACTTTCTTAATTTTTGAGTTTCAAATTTACTTTGGAAATTTCCTAGGGAATCTCTGCTAGTTGCCTTTACTTGATTCGTGTATTCCTCAAAGTGTTTTTGGCTAGATTGCCCTAGACTATTATTATCCAAAAACCGTGTCTGTCTTGCCTCATACGTGCATTTTTTCCTAAAGAATATCTGCCAGCCCGCCTTCATTCCAGTTGTTCCAGTTCCAGGTGTTCCCAATTTCTTCCTGAAGGAACTCAGCTTGCTCACCTTTCGTTGGGGTTTTTTCCTAAGAATCTCTGCTAGCCAGCCGATTTGCTCCGATTCCGGCCTTAATTTTTAATTTCTGGCCTTTTAGGAACCTCTACTAGCTGACTCTTTCTACTCGGAAAGTCTCCTAGAAGTCGCTGCTGGCCTGCCCTGCTAAACCTAACCCCGATTTTTATCCCGTAACGTCAGCACCTCGACCCCATGCCAATAATTGTATTTTTTTGCAAGAATACGTCAAATTTTCCAATTCCAAAAATTCCCCTCCACCCACTGAGTGACCGGCGGCCGTCAGGAAATCCCATTTTAGAAGAGAAGACACCGGGTGGCCATGTCCGTTCCAAATAAGGGCCCCAGGGCCCCGTAAGGACGCCTGCAATTTGTTGGCCTAGCCCCATGGGTCCCCAGATATTGGCCTCCTGACCATTCATTAGTCAGAAAAACACGGCTGGGAATCGGGAGAGGGAGTCATTTTGGGTCGAAGAACATATTCTAGCGCTGGTCGTCGTGAGGGGAGGACAGAAGATTAGTAATGCAAGAGGGGACGACTAATTGGTAGTAAAGGAGGGTAGAGAACCAACCTTCTAAGGTCGTAACTTATTATGAATTTATTATATCACTTTGACAGTTAATATTTCAATCAGCTTTTTGAGCTCTATCGAATAAACTATTTATTGTAAATTTTTTTGGTAATTTTGAAGCCGGTAGAAGATTGAAATGCACAGACGTGGACTAGTTTCTAGAGGGCAGGGGACCCGTCTTTTAACGGGGCCTACTGAGAGTTGGTCGTTCATTTTATGAGAGAGGGGTTTGCGTCCAAATTTGTCTTCTACCCTCCGACGTAGAACGGAGCGTTTCAGGAACGGAACAGA